AGTCGACAAATAGGTTGTATGTGTCGATGTGTTTTTCGTGGGTCTTTTCCAGGATTTGGCGCAGAGTGAAAATCTGGTCAATGGTGGATTTGCCAGGTCTGAAGCCGCATTGGTATGGTCCGATGATGTCATTGACCATTGACTTCAATCGTTCACACAGCACACTGGATAACACTTTATATGCGATGGGAAGGAGACTTATTCCTCTATAGTTGGCACATATCGTTTTGTCTCCTTTTTGTGCACGGGACACAGGATGATGAGGTTCCAATCATTGGGCATGCATTGAATAGTTCGGCTGGTAACCCATCGGCTCCTGCTGCTTTGTTGTTCTTGAACCGATTAATTGCTTTTATGACCTCATCTTGGCTAGGTGGTATACACTCTATACCATCATCTCTTATTGGTTTTGGGATATCTTCTTCATCGCCACTATTTGATACTAGTAGCTTTTCGAAAAGCTCCTTCCAGATCCTCAACACGCTGTCTGTATCTGTCACCAGGTTTCCTTCTTCATCCCTACAGGAGGATGTGCCTGCACCAAAGCCTTCAGTTTGGTGTTTTACTCGTTGGTTAAATTTCCGGACTTCATTCTGACTCCTGTGCATCTCGATTTGCTCACGCTCACGTTTTTCTTGTTCTTTCTTCTTTTTTCTGAAAACACGTTTCTCCTCTCTCCTTTTCTCCCGATAATTCTCCATCACGTTACGTGTTGCTACTGTCTGCAGGGTTGCCCTATACGCTGCGTTTTTCACATCAGTAGCATTACGACACTCCTGGTCGTACCATGGGTTTCTTGGTGATGGTCTTTGGTACCAAATTGTTCTTTTTGCTGCAGTTTGTTGGGAGTGGGCAATTCTTTGCCATTGTGCTTCTATACTATTATCAGGACAAGAAGTGCTTTCTTCAAGCAGATGGGTAAGTTGAGCGGAGTAGGCCTCGGCTACCTGTTGTGTTTGCTACCTGTGTATTAGATCGCACCTTTGCTGCAACATTAAGACGGGTGCGTACCTTGGCTGCCACAAGGTAATGGTCCGAATCGATATTCGCTCCTCGGATCGATCGGACGTCTAAAACACTGGATGAATGCCTTCCGTCTATCACAACATGATCAATTTGATTTCTCGTTACTTGATCAGGAGAGATCCAGGTGGCCTTGTGTATATCGAGATGTTTGAATCTGGTGCTACCATGTTTTTTGCTGCCGCGAAGTCAATCAACCTCATGCCGTTGTCGGATGTTTCTTCATGAAGGCTGAATTTTCCGACGGTGGGGCCAAAGATATTTTCCCTTCCGATTTTTGCATTAAAATCTCCTATCAGAATTTTAATGTCATGGCCAGGGCAACGGTCATATGCTGTTTCTAGGCGCTCGTAAAATATGTCTTTGGTCTGCTCATCTTTATCTTCAGTCGGAGCATGGGCGCAAATTAGACTGATGTAAAAGAACTTAGCTTTTATACGGATTATAGCAATTCGCTCATCTACCGGAGTGAATCTGGAGACAAGGTCTTTTATTCTCCTGTTAAACATAAATCCGCAGCCAAATTCATGTCTCGTTTCATGGCAGCTATAATACAGGGCGTAATTGTCTGATTTACTTACGCCTGTCCCTTTCCATCGCATTTCCTGTAAGGCAATAATAGGTTCGTTCGTTTACTTTCCCAGTAATATTTACTCAGTAAGAATTTGCAGAGAGTAAATACGAATTTTTCCTTTTCAAGAGAGAAAACTGCAAAAAGTAAACGAACAACATCCAGTAAAAAGATTGTTTCGACACAGCTGATTAAAACAACAAACAAATTGGCTCAAACTAAAAAACAGCATTTTTATTAGAAAAATGGATAACAAGCGGAAAATTGATGTTGTTTGTTCCCCACAACCATTTAAAAGTTTGTGACCTGTTATTCCTGTATCTGCAATTGATATTGGGGTGGACATAACCGATGGTGTTCCAGACATGTTAGGGATGCACACTTTTTTTTTGGATTTGGAACCTAAAAAATCGTTCGCCAATTACTCTTGTATTACCTTATTTTTAAATACTTGCGTTTTCTTCATCCATTTTGGTATTTAATGATACAAAATCAAAATAAAATTCACAAAACAATCAATTTTCTTGAGAACAATTTTTTGTTTGTTTACAAAACATAACAAAACAGCTGATTAAATATCAGCTGATGGTACAAGAAAATTCTTACTGAGTAAATTTTCCTTGTTAGAATTTGCAAATACTCAGTAACACAACTGTCAAATCTGCTCTCTCAATTCACTCTCTTTTACTGGACTTTTGGGTAAACGAACAACATTTTGTAATAATTTGTACAAATTCGTACAAATTATTGAGTAAACGAACGAACCTAATATCGGCTTTGTACTTCCTGAGTATATCCGCCAAAGCGAACACTGCCCCTGTTCTGTACAACGTGCGCACATTCCAAGTGCAGATTCGCAGATCGTGGTCCTTTATACGTTTGCGGGGGTCGTCAACATTAGGGGGGTTTGGTTTTCTTTGCTTTTTCATAGTAGGTTGGGTTTTCCGAGAGTGGGCAACTAACCCGACGCCTCAACCCATTTTTTTATAGTTCTTATGTGTGAACTCGCGGCACATGTTAGCTCACTATTTCATCGGGTGATGAGAATAGCTCCCCAGGTGGCACCGCGGGGAGGTCAGTGTCCACAATTGAGATGAAAGAGGGACCAAGATAAACCTGGGCTTCGCCATGTTAAAGCCAATCACAAAATTTTAATATTTTTAAAAAAGGTTACGGAGCACAATAAAATTGATCAACAATCACAAAGTTTTAAAAGTATAATTCTGACATTCGGTATGTAGTTTTGTATATTATAAACAAATGGAATACGGCAAAAAATGTTAGTAAATTATACTTAACGGTACTAATTATAAATATAGGAATCTGTTATTAAATAATTATCTGAAACTATGGCATTAAACATAAATATTTCTAGAAATAAGTTCTAAAACATACTACGCATTGTATATATAATATAATTCGGTACAAGGCTTTTTCTATGAAAAACAATGGTTCTCGCAGTAGAGGTCGTGTAGAGGTAAAGTCCGGAAATTTTATAGGTATATTTAGCTATAACAAATTAAAAAATGTAATCTTTTTTAATTATGTATTAAAAGGTACTAAATAGGAAAGGTTAGATACAGATATCCAAGTTTTAGTATTTATCTTTGACTATGGGACGAGACTTCACATACAAATATGTAAAACAATGCAAACAAGCCGCTGAACATCACAAGTACTAAATTGTTTGCACTTTTAAATACAAATGTTTCTATCTAATATTTATTTCCAATGATTTTTCCATCCACACGGGAAATATATTATACAGCAGCGACTTTCGATGTAATGAAAAATGGGTGGGATCTTTATGTCGAGGATTTACAAAAAAATACCGACAATTTTTCTCCAATATGGATTTTATATAACGTAATGCACGATAAATACTAAATTTCTGCAATTTTAATGGAAATGTTCCCTATAAAGGCAGTTATCTGTATAATAAATGATCCTCTGAGCAATATATTTTATTACAAATTCGTACTATAAGGGTACACAAGTACTAAATCGTACTACTTTACTATTTTACCATTAGTATTCAATTACCGAAAGGAAAAAAAACGTATTAAGGTACTATTTGCATTGGTCCATCAAGAGGATCGAGGAAATAGTACACTTTCAGGAAATATAAATATAAGTAAGTTTTACTCAATTTAGTAGGATAAAAGCATCAAAGTTTCTATTCGAAAGAAATTCGGAGCAAGATCTGAGATTTCTTAAAAAATTCAATATTCGAAATATTCACATTTATACTCCAATCCAAAAGTATGAAGATTCTTATATAATTTTTAAGTGTGATACTCAGAAATACATAAGTCTATATTAAGTTATATTGTGTAGCTAAATTAATGTTTATTTATTATAAAAAGAACGACGTAGCGGGCCTATGCTAGTTCTATATAAAAGAATATCTTTTTTGAAATAAAAAAGGCATATGATGATAGATTAATGTGTTATTATTGCATATAATTTGTTTGAAATCACAAAATTAACAAAAAAAAAAGCCATCAAAAACAAATTTTAAATAGATACTAAGGTTTGTCTTTAATTTTCTTCATCTGAATCCCTCGCTTGACACAAGCAGATGTTTTGAAGTAAGGCCGAAGAAGAATGATTCCCTTAAATCAATCAACAAATTAATGACATTACAGAGTCTTTCATATTTTATGTTGCGACAAATAGAATATTAAAAATAAATAAAATTATCGTTAGAATTAAGAAAATTACAAAAAAATTACAGAAATAATGTTAAAAACAAATACAGTTTGCATTGTATTGCAACCTGTATTCGTTTTTAACACATTACAAAAAAATTACAGAAACAATGTTAAAAACGAATACAGTTTGCATTGTATTGCAACTATTTCTGCAAAGTACCATGTCGGCGTTTATTTTTGTCGCAGTTCGAAAATTTCAATTCACATGAGAAGCAGAACACTCCGTGAGTTCCAGAACATACTCGATTGTTTTGACTGACTTGATGACTTCATCATCTAACCACATTATTTTTATGGAAGGGCAAATTTTATTTTTTTTTTTTCATTTCGCACCAGTGGGCCACACGGAAAGAAATCCTGCGTACGTCCCTGTTGAGTGAGGCTGTTTTGATGACCATCGCTATATAAGCTACACAATGCAATGGAATTGCTCAATCGTTATATCGCGAAATCGTTAAATCGCATAGTCGTTAAACCGGTATTCTACTGTATATAGATAAAATGTACAGCCCAATCTTCTTAAAATGCACTATAGTGTCACTGAGCCCACAAAGCCATTTATAAAAAAGCACAAACAACAACCAAGATATAAATTTTCCTATTGGCACGAAAGGGTTCCACTTAGTTTATCTTTTCAACTTTAAGATGTTTTCATCTTTTATATAAGAGATTATAAAAAAATCAATAATTACCCGGCATTGACCCACACCAAATCTCCAGGACGTTGAATAAATCTATAAACTGGAATATTTTCCTTATATAGATCATCCAAAACTGGCCACCAAGATCCATGTAAGTAGCTTATATTGTTTTGCTCGCACAAATTGTGAATTCCTCCCCAATATGCGTCAGGAACAGCAAACCACTCACAATCCCCAGGTCCAATGTTAATGTTTATTGAACAGAAATTGTTGTTTTCTTGGTGTCCCGGTGTTCTACTTCCGGGCACTTTCATATAAAGTTGGACTGTGTTCATACCCAATATAACATGACCAACATGAGAAAGCATATTTGCGGCAGATATTACGCGGCCGAATGCAGGCAATTTTTGGAGCTCAGCTAGTTGGGGTCGCCATTTCCGCTCATCTGACAAATCGACATTAGTTCCAAACCTAAAAATAAGTATTTGAATATAGTGAGTGAAGATATTAATGAAATAATATTGCATAGAAAAATTTAAACTGTAAATATACATATTTTTTTCATTTTATTAAATTTTATTTATGCAATTAGAGAAATACCTATTTCTCTTAGCACGTCTCTTAACTCTGTAGAAAACTTCACTTGTTGTAATAAATATGTAGGGGAGAGGGGCACCTTTGAACACTTTTTTCTTTCAAGCCTTGTATTTTTTTTAAATTTTACCTAATAGGTACATATGTAACCATACTTTAAGCTTGATAAATATATTTTAATTGACATTTTTGAACGACATGGTATTTTACAGTGTTAGTGTTCAAATATTTTTTTTATTATTTATTATTATTTTTTATTATTATTTATTTTATTCTTACAAACGTTGTTTTGCCGTAACAGAATTGCATTAATTTAGGTTTTGTAAAAATTAACGACCTCATGAAAAATATATTTCAGAAACTATTTACCATTTAAGTTATGTGAAATTTCCGCAATAAAGAAATACTCATAATATTTTCCTCACATCGGTAAGTATCGCAATATATTAAGTAAATTTTGTTTTTTTTTTTTTTTTTTTGCACCAATAAATGACTGTTCCTATTTTGATCATATACAATTCATAAGTCTTTTGAATCATCAAAATTTTTCCAGACGTTCTTGATTTATAAAAGGTGTAAGCAACACAACATTCGATTACTCCAATCTCCGACAAATTTTCGTTGGTAAAACTCTTCCCACTGCGATTAAAAACTATCGTAGGAGAATGAGAGTCAAATTTTCACATCATGAAAAATATATTTGAGGAACAATAAAATCACATATAAGTTAGAGACCTAGAGCATCTAATGCGAAATTGTCACCATGTAGTATTCGAATTTATATATTTATACTTTCCAAATATAAGAACATTTTCAATAATACCTTCCATAGCTAGCTAAATTGTTGAGGTATTTGTTACGTTTTTAAACCTCCTAATCCATGGTCCATATTTTTCATAGTCTGATTTTACATACAAAGTAGTAGTAACAAATACCCCATAAATTGCCATTAATTCGGTATTTCATGTAGGGTAAGAAAGTTCTCTGTAAATTTTCGGTATAGTTCTTTATGGTATATGCCCCACATAATGGTAGGCATATCCGGTCCTTCAAAATATGTTTTTCAAGATTTTATCGTATTTTCTCAACATTTTATTTCATAAAAACCTTCCCATTTCAATTACAGATAACAGTTAACAGAAAGAATTTTTAAGTCAAGTAGGTCCAGCCGATCTCAATTGATGATTTTTTTTACATAATTTTTATAATGGTTTTTTCGTTTGACACCCATGCGCATTTCACGAAAACAGGTTATGTATGTATTGGTGTCGGAATACTTAACGTTGATTAAGCATCCAATCTCTAATCGGGCAAAACGCAAAGAAACTATATAGCGCGCCATCTGTCGGATGGACTTAAAATTAAACAGAAACACTCCTCACGCCCCATAGAACATGTACATACTATTTGATCAAAATCGATGCAGTAGTTTTTGAGTTTAGCGATCACGAACATACACGTAATTTATATATATAGAGATATATTGAGATATAGAGATAGAGATATGAGAAATTCATTTATTTCTTAAAAAATATATACAAAAAGTTTAAAAAATTCAAATCAAAATTTATTAAAACATAAAATCAAGGCCTATATAAGGTCTGCCAATAAGCGAATTCACAGAGAAAACTCAAGTTTAACGTATTTTTTTTTTTTTTTTTGCCGAGGCGAAAACTAATTGTTTCGCCTTTAAATAAAAAAACACCGCCAAAACACAACACAATTTATAATTTGTAGGATAATTTACTTCAAAATCTTCATTAACTCTTGAAATTGTCCAAATGTGCTTCACAAAGACAATACAAATTAAAATTTAATGAATGTTCACAAAATATTAATATTTTCGTTTTGACGTCTAACATAATTTTGTATGTATGTATAGGTTTCAAAAGATGATTTGACAGCAAACTTTATACTCACCTGTGCTTACTGGCCAACCTTATATATCCCTTGCATAAAATGACTTAAAAACAAAAATTAATATAGTGAAAAATACAGTTAATTTCGAAATCTTATTAGCCCATTTGAAATTTTGAGAAATGGAAGCCAAAAGTTAAAAACTCAATTTTTTACTGGGGTTTATTGGACATGTTCAAAGGTGCCCCACCTGTGGCATTTTACGGAAATTTATAAGAAATTTTTTTGTAGAAAATATATATGACAGAAAATACTTTAGTTATGTTTGAAATGATTGTTGGAATGCAAAAAAATGTTTAACGAAAGAAAACGATTACCGAATTTTTCCTGCGCCCTTACAACCAAAAAATTAAAAGTTTACAACGTCACTGCGAAAACATGGTCACTCATGTAAACTTTGTCGACAACTGAAAAACTAGACAAAACGGTTTACCCAGATAAAGAACAAGATTGGCAAATGAAAAAAGTTGGTTGCGGGTCGGAAAAAATTTAAATCGAGATTTTAAGACCGCTGTTCAAAGGTGCCCTCCTCACCCCTCACAGCAAAATATCTTTGATACTTTGAGGTACAGATATTTTTCGAAAAATGGGTTTCAATATCGACTGGTGAAAGGGGTACTTAAAATCTATTACTTTAATCGATTTTTTGAACTATAATACGTCATTCAATACATACGTGGCTATTTTTTTTATCGTGTATTTTCAATCCCGTTGTAATTGCGATCTTACAGTAAGCAAAATCCGTTGAAAAGACTGATAAGTGTTCAAATAAATTTGTAGTCGAAAATTATGCAAACACGTATATTATAATCTAAAACTCAGAAATGGGACCTGGGATGTAACCTTTATATGGAAGCAATGTCAAAGTTTCGACCGGCATTTAAAATTTTCTGCAAATATGTTTTTCATCAAGGAACTATGACTGCCGATTTCCATGAATGGGGAATGATTCCGGTGTCAAAGACTGAGTTGTAAAAAGAGAATAATTGAAGGTTTTAAGAAAAAGACATAGGATTATACTTACAAAATGTATATGTCGTTGGATTTCATTGATGTGAATAGGGTGAAGTTCCTTTTCCTAGATATTTTGTGAATTTTATGCCACACAAAGCTGAGAGGTAGATCACGACTGATAGTTTTTGCGGAATTATTTTTGTTTTTTTGTATTTTAGATACAAATCTAAATTTAGCTTTGGCATTTTTGTATAAAAGTAGGTTATCGGATAAAGGAGCCTTTTTAAAAGCACGATAGAGGCGAACCTTGTTCTTGCGTAGGGTGTATAATTCCTTATTCCACCATGGGACAGATCATTTGGATGTATGCCTTGTAATTGGGATACTATTATTGGCTGCATTTCTTATTGCTTTTATAAAATGACATTAATTTTGTTAGAATTTCCGACAAGAGTGTTGGCATTTAGTGAAATGTCAACATCATTTTTGAAAGGGTCACAATTTGCCTTCTTCAAATTATGTTTATAAAATGGTTTAAACATTGCAACAGGTGTACCAAAATCAATGTGATTATTAGAAAATTATCACTACTGTAAAGGTCATCTAAAGTATGACTACATTTAATTTTTATTTATTTACTCACATTAATTTCAAAGTCCGCAGACCACATTTAACAAATTACCAGTCTACAAAATCTCATAATTACACTTATAATAAACAATAACGCGAAAATTCTCGACTATAAAATAAAACAAGAACATCTTAACAATCACGATAACAATTGCGGGCTAAGAATAATACATGTACATTTCACTAACTTGACAAGCAATACTAATAAAAGTAGTAATTATTCACAGAAACCCAAACAAAAATTTTGACTGCAACTAAGATTCTACTCGAAGATCGAGCGGAAATAGCTTAATATATAAAAAAAATAATAAGTTACTCTATAATGTTATTGTGGTTATTAAAACAGTATTAAAAAATACAAAAATTAAGGGACTTATCATTACAATAAAATTAATTAACAATAATTTATACATCTGTTATCACAAGAAGGGTGGGATCTACTCAAGTATCTGTAATAATAAAATTCATTTTACAATATTAATTAAAATATAGAAAAAATAAATATAAAAATAAATATAATTAAACAGGATGGGGTTTAAATAGAGGGTATCTTACAAAATGTAATTATATAGGATGGGGTCTACTCAAATAAAAGCACAAAAGCATTATGTAGGTAGGTGTTCCGAACGTTGATAAATGTGTAGGTTTGCCATCGTTTGGTATACAAAGGATTTGTGCATTCAGGACATTTTCCAAAATAAGACCCCTTGAATTCCTTCTGAGCTAGGTTGCAGTGTTGTATGTTTTGGGAATTTTATTAATTTTGTTGGTGTTATGAGGATGTGTTGTTGATTGGCGAATCAACGTTAGAGAGATTATGTGTTGGTTGGTTTACTGTTATGTGTTATTCTCTTTTTTCTTCTTTCTATTGCATCGGAGAGACTCTCAATTGGCATTTCTGTTGGATCTATTTTAGGCGTATATATCCAAGCTTATTTAAAGAAACACTTATTTGCGATTTTGTTTTTGAGCACCATTTTTCTTTGTTGAAATGCTGGAGATTGTTGGTTGCTCTTTTTTTTGGTGATTGCAGTTTATGCGTAGCACTTTCGTACATAGGATTGAATCATGCACAGCAGATGAGCATACATAAAAAATGTGAGCATTTTTGCAGAATTTTTTTTTGTGTGACCGAGGTTAAAGCTGTTTTTACATTGAATCAGGTTAGGAGTATATACTTTAACTTTGCAATTTATGATACCAATTTCAACAGTTTTGGGTAGTTCGTATAAGGATGTAGAATGGAGTGTTAAATATACATAGTACCATCGCTAAATTTGGTTATTTTTTGACAGTCGACAACGCCTTGTGATTTCCATTTCCTAAGTCTTCTGAGGGAAGATCGGTCAGCAGATCGCAATGTAAAAAACCTTTAACGATATTTAATGTGCGATGATAACTGCATACAATTGGACCAATTCCAGCGAGGTATTTGGTTAAAAAAAAACGGTTTGCTTGAGCTTAATTTTTTGTCGGAAACATAAGATTGCCGTTACGGGTGAAGATGGTTCTGGGAGTGGGTTCCGCAGAAATTCCTTGGATTGCTTTAAATAACAGAAATATGTTGAACGATTTTAGAGTTTTTTCAGTGTTTTTAGTTTTCCTTACAACGTATTTGGGGCATGATTGGTTTTTGTTTTTATATTGAGGCAGGAGCTGGAAATCTAAGGAATTTCTCAAAGCCAAAGCGTCATGGAAACCACAAACTGTTTTGATTTTTTAAAATGTAGATAAAATGAAGAAAATATGAGAGCATGATGCGACATTTCCGCACACTGCACTTGATGTCATGGCAGGATTTTAAAATTAGGACCCACATAACCTCGAACAACAACGAGAATGCTAATCTGGTGCTATCAACGCGCAAGACGTCCAGTAGACTCTGACCAACTGTGGAACTTGAGAACTACAGCTTTGAAGTAGACAGAGATTTCATCCACCTCGGTTCTGCCAGAAATAAAATAAGTGGCTTCAGTTTTGAGATTCGGAGAAGAATAGTGTTGGCCACCTATCGCCAGACCAAACTCACTCTCTTCAAGACGTTGATACTACCCGTGCTGGTATATGAATCAGAAGCATGGGTATTTCCGTAAACATATGATGCAGCTCTTGGATTGTTTGAGAAATAAATTCTCTCAAATATCTATGAATCGATCTGCGTCTACGGTGAATGTCGGCATCGAATGAACTGCGACCTATACCAACTATATACGGACATCGATATAGTTAGACGTATCGGTGCCTAGGCCATGTTGTGCGAACCATATAAAAGCGATGGTTTACGAAATAGGGAATGACCAAGTATTCGATTGAAAGTTCAAGTGGAGGGTGACATATCAAAGCATAGTCTTTCAAACTGGAAAATCTGCGCACAAGGTCGACGCGCCTGGAAATATTTTTTAAGTTCGGCTAATGGAACAAGTGTTCAGCTAAGTAAGAGTATTGTGTGTGGATAGAGTTAGTACTGTGTTTTTTTGTTTCAAGTTATATAATATATTCGATTTCACCTTTAGATAAAACAATATTTTATTCATTTATTTAGCTTACATCAGTGGTAAATACAAATATATAAAGAGTTTAGGAATATATTTCCTTTTCTACTTAATTATTATACTTATTTATAACATTTGGAGTTATGATTTTACATTTTAATATTATTTATGTAAGAAAAAAAAATAAACCTTGAATGACTAGATGTGGTGGGTTGTTAAACCCATTTATGAAACGATTTCATTGATGTGGGCGTAGCACGAAGATATACATCGAGTAACAAAATTGGATCTAGATATTTCTAGTTGGTCTTTCACTAGTAGGAACCCAGAAAGGGTATGCAATCTTTGGGTGGAATAGTGCCAGGGCAAATCAAAAATCATTTTTAATAACTTGTTTTGAGCCCCCTGTAGTTTCATTATGTGGCAATTTGCTGCCTCCCCAAATAATGGTGCACAATAATAAATTAATGGTAAGAAAATTGATTTTATAATCAATTTTTTTGTTTTCCTTGTTAAGGCCGCATTTTCGATTAATTAATGGGTACATGATCCTGGTGACCTTATTGATTTTATCCACGACGTATGAAATGTGGGCGCCAAAATTTAGTTTTCTGTCCAAGATGACTCCCAAATATTTAACTTTTTCTTCCCATTCAACGTCATGATTTAGAAAACGTAGTGGGTGTTGAGGCAAATAGCATGGTTTACGTTTCCGTGAAAAGTATATTGCTTGCGTTTTATCCGGATTTACAAGAATTTTCCATTTTTTAAAGTAATCATTGATTACAATAAGAGCTTGTTGCAGGTTTGCTGATATTGTGTTTGAGTGTAACCCTTTACTAATTATCGAAGTGTCGTCGGCAAATATAGACACAATACATTCATTTAGTACAGGTATGTCGGCAGTGTATATATTGTATAAGATTGGTGACAAACAGGATCCTTGAGGACAACCATTGGGTATTTTAACTCGCCTCGATTTTGATTTTCCGATATGTACACAGAATGATCTATCACTTAAGTAGCTGTGCACGATTTTGATAATTTGAAGTGGAAACCCAAATTTCTTCATTTTAAATATTAAGCCATTATGCCATACTCCATCAAACGCAGCTTTGATATCTAATAGTACCATGCCTGTAGACTCTGATTTATTACAATTTGTTTTAACCATATTCCTGATTTTAACGAGAGGGTGAATGTTTTAGAAAGTTTCCATTTTCTCGGAAAATAGCACAGTTTTAAACAAGCATTCATTGTTTTTGTTAGGTATTTAAATCCATTTATTGGTAACATTTTTAAGCATTTATTATTTATTCCATCGACACCAGGGGACTTTTTGTTTTTTTTTAATTTTTTAATTAAACTTACCTGTAGACTTGATGGTTCAGGCCGAGACGCATTTATGTAGACGACAGTACGGTTTACTTCAAGCGTTGTATTTATATCACTGAGCGATAGAGAAATAGAATGGTTTTCAAGAAACGTTTCTGCTAGAATCTCACATTTTTCCTCCTCTGTGAAAAACATATTATTGTTGGATTTTAGTGGTGGTATAATATTTTTCCTTTTCTTCAACACTTTTGATATTTTCCAAAATGGGGATGAGGCTTTTTCCAACCCTGTTAGTGTTTCATTCCAATTTTTGTTTCGAAATTCGGATAATTCCATATTTATCTTTTTATTGAGTACATTCATTTGGTGTCTATCTTCAGTGTCTCTATAACGTTTCCAATTTCGTTTATAGATGTTTCGGAACTGGATCATTTCCTTGATGTTTTGAGGTAATTGAATAGACTTATTCATAAATTTACACTTCGGAACGCTCACATCAATAGCCTCGTCGATAATGTTGGTGAAATTTTGTAATAAATGATCTATATTTAATTCAGTTGTGTCATCCAAATTGTTTAATTTTAGTTCCCTGCTAATGTACGATTTAAATCGACTCCATTTGGCTTTCTTGAAATTGTAGAAAGAATGTTCAGTTTTACCAATGGAGCTGTTTATCTCTACTTTAATTGGGAGATGGTCAGATGATAAATTATTTATTGTTTTTACAGAGCATATATAATTTGGGATATCAGTCAGTAATATATCCAATTTAGATGCTTGTCTTCTAGGGTCTGCAGGTATATAAGTGACATTTTGCGGGTATATAACCTCGAATGGACTGGTTTGAATCTTGTCATGGAGTAGATTTCCCCAAAAATTACTTCTTCGGCATCCCCAATTTTGGTGTCTGCAGTTAAAATCTCCTCCAAGGATGATGTTTTTAGTATTTGTCATTTTGTGAATATCCGATAAAAAGTTTTCTTTTCGTTGCAAATTTCGTGAACCTCCCGGGAAATAACAAGCATTTCTATTGCAGTATTATTTAAATAAACCTGAATACCAATATTTTCAATAAGTTTTGTATTTAGAGGTTTTAGCATCTTATGTTGGATATTTCTTCTAATTAATACAGCAACGCCTCCACCTCTTCTATCACGGCGATCATTACGATAGCATGTGAAGAATTGGTTTTTGATAGAAATACTGGCATTTAGCCATGTTTCACATATAAGACAAATGTCAATCTCATTTATGTTTAAAAATTGAATAAGTTCTTCTTGTTTATTCCTTACGCCTCTAGCATTCCAGGAAATTATTTTTAAGTTATTGCTCAATTTAGAAATTTAAAAGCAATGCCAGTTATGACATCAAACTGGTCAAGTTTTGTTTTACAATTTCTTAATTTAGAAATTAATTCAAATGTTAAATTTTTTAATTCTTCAATTGAGAACAAATTATTTTGTTCAGTTTGTTTAATATTTGCCCAACTATTTTCAGGAGGTAATACTTGATTTAGTTTGTTAGGAAATGTATTATTATAGTTCTGGTACGTTGAATAATTTGTTTGGCTACGAATATTCCTTTTCGGCTTCATTCTATCTCTTATTTCAATGTATTTTAATCTACTGGGACATTGAGTAGAGGTTGCCTTATGATCACCACCACAATTTGCACATTTTAAAATATTTTCATTACAGTTTGCTGTAATATGATTTCCTGCACAATTTGCGCAAAACGATTTAAGATTACACCTACTGGATCCATGTCCGAGCATTTGACAGTTGTGACACTGGGTGAGTTTCGATTGATTCGGTTTTTGGTACACCCATTTCACTTTCATATACTCTATAGTTGAATGGAGTTCATTAAGCTCTTTCAATGTTATTGACTTTCTCTCAAAGTAGACAACATAGATAACTTTCTCATCGTTATTTTGCTTTCTAGTAACGAGTTTTACATCAGTGCATTTCAGGCCTTTTGCTAATAGCAAGCTTTTAATTTTTTGAGGATCCCTTTTTTCTAGATCCAAAAGAATGGCTTTATATGGCTTCTCGTCTTAGGTGCCATAAGTAAAAAATTCGAAATTAAATTGCGCTAATGCTCTTTCGCAGACCAATTTAAAATCCTCTTCCTTGGTACAATGCAGTTTAAGTCCAATTGATATTTTTTTTGATGGAATAGTCCGTTATTTTTAAAATTCTGCACATTTCGTGCAACTGTTCAGTTTTGCACTTGAGAAGTGTTATCGGAGGTATTCTCACCTTTTTAATCGAGTCATCGATAATTATTTCTTCTCCAACATTGTCACTATCATCATCGATCGTTTGCAGAGGGTGAAAATAGTTTTGATTTTCTGCTCTCGGAGAGCTGAAATGTTTGGTTTTTTTACTCATGCTGTGGCCATGAGTAACGGCGTCTTCTCCGCGAGAACGTTTAATTTTGTTTTTGTTTTATGATATTTAAGAATAACTGTGTGATACTTTGACTGTGAACGACACTTGCTAATCAGAAAAACACGTCTTAACTCGAGTAGCAAATGAACAAGAGTGAAAATATCAAATAAAGACAAACACTTGTTGCGAATATTTATTTTATTTTTGGCAGAAGAAGTCACACGTGCATAGTTGCTTTTTGTTATTCACCTCAAGCTGCCCTACCTTGTATTATTGTACGATAAAACAATATAGGACACATTTTTATTTTATAATTATATCTTACCTCAACATTTTGTTCCCACTCCTATTTTTCTTTCTTTTCCCACTTATAGAAGCACTACTTAGAGAATCTTTAGAGTCCGAATCTGACATAGGTTGCAAACCTTGGGATCCATTTTTATCTCGTTCCTCCTAAGGAATATATATAATATAAATTAAATGTAGCAAATATTATACAAACACTTACCTTTAGGCTCTCCTGGAAACTTGATGCTTGATACTGTGCATATTTGGCAATAGTTGTATGAGATCTATGAGATATACACGCCCAAACTCGTTTTGCTTGTGAAGAATCCCAATTTTCGTCGGGTGGTTGATGAACCTGTGTTCTTACTTCTACGCTATGATCAGGATTCGCCTCCACTAACGTTTTTGTGGAAAAAAGACCAAGATCCAATTTCAATGCTCCGGCAAGCCCACGAACAACAGCTATTGGGTGCTTTAGGCAGAATTCCTGTAACTGGGGACTAAATGCATGTTTTTTGTTTTCCAAATGTACCGAAGGTGTCGGTGGTAAAAGCTGTTCCCTTGTTAATCGCTGTGGAGGACAATCAGGCGGAGATGGTGGCACTGTGTTGTTACTTAGTATAGAACAAGGCGGAGGCGGTTCGTCCAAAGACAAACATTTTACTGCCATAGTTATTTGCTTGGAGTCCATGTTGATATGAAATCCCGCGGTATTCTGACATTCATCTTCAATGTCACATACATTATTAATTTCATCATTTATAATGTCCTTTTCACTTAAGGATTGGATCTTATCAAGCTGAATCCCTTTTTGTATCGAATCATTAATATTAATATCCATCTCCTCCTTTATGCCAATTGTATCATCATTAAAAGTACTTAATATATCATCAGTAAATGACGTTGGTAAATCCTTTTGAGATAAAATATCGTGCAATTCTTGTTCGCTGACACCTTTAAAAACTCGGCATTTTATTTACACATGTTTAAACTAAATGTTTTAAAATATGACGCTTACCCAGATCAGTTTGGTTAGAGAATGGGTCCCTTGATATATAATCCTCACAGCTTAATGACTGTGAATTGTCACTGAATTCTTTTGAACCTAAATCAATGCCAAGTATGCTATTTGAATTGCCTCGCTGGGATACCAACTGATGCATCTCTGATGACTTATGCAAATTACCTAATTGGTGAAACAACGATTTTTCATGGTTGTTCAAGCTATCCTCTTTCTGTTTAAGATGTTTAAACATTTGTAACTGTTCATTCGATATAGATGTTTTAGTCGATTGAGTTTCTAACTGGATCTGAGAACCATCTCCGTCCTTTAAACGTTTTATTGGGGCGCTTGGGTATGGTGGCGGTGGCCCTTGTGCCTAAAAATATACATTGAAAGTTAACTGTACAATTTATATATACTTTTTTAAATATTTTTTATTAAAAATATTTTAAACAAAGTCTTTAGATCAGGGGGTTACTCTGTATTGCGATGCGTAAGAAAAATTGTAACGCATCGCGTAATTGGTACTCTCTAATTCGTTTTCGCATCTCCTTTCGCATCTAGTTTACGCAAATGTGGCATCACCGCACTCTGTTATACGAAAACGCATGTCAAACTCGTTCGTTAAGCGCAAATATCTTGCGTTAACAAAATAGCAAACGCAAAGGAAGCGAAACATATAAGTAAGCTCAATTACATTTTTTATTTATATATAAATTGTAAATTATTTTAAGTAAAGGGGAAAAAAATCACAGTTTCAGACTCAGCAACGTCAGTTCCTAACTTAAGTAGATTTTATGGGGCTACACAGTGATTTGGCAAAGGGAGAGTTGCAGAGTTCAAATGCGAAACAACGCGCCAATAATTTGTGGACAAAACTGTCTGGCCTCAATTCAAATTGACCTCCTGTAAAAGATGTCGGTGGTTGGATTTATATAAAATGTGAAACTATGTGTGCATATTTACAGGTTGGTGTTCAAAGCAGTGGCCTTTTTATTGGAGTTGGAATTGTTGTGGATCTATTTGGAAAGACGAGCCTTTAATAAATACATAAATGAATCTTTATTGAGAAGAACATTTTGTATAAATCTATAAAAATTAAATATTTGAAAACGTTTGTCACATAATTCGTACTTCTATTTTAATACCCGTGGTCACTTAGGGAGAATATATTTGATCGATCTCATAAAATTCTTTTTTTGTTTTTAATTCGTTCATCATTTTTCTTTAAAAAAACACTCGTACCTCACAAAAATATGTTTTCATTTAAAATTTTTTGACGTTTCCCTTTTTTTATTCTTCGTTATTGTTTACTTTGTGGCGACAGTGTTGCCCTATTTTCGATTTAATTTGCGAAAGCGTTTGCGTGAGCGTTACAGAGTACCAAATTGTACTCTTAACGCATTTAGCTTTCGCATCGCACTTGCTTTCGCAACGCAATACAGAGTAACCCCCCAGAAGTGTCGAATCTGACTGTTGAAAAATTAATCTTAGTAATATTTTTAATGCAAATGTATAATACAAATGTAAGATTGAAAAAACTAGAAATTTCTACTATGTGAATATATTTACATTTGACAAGTCATCTTCTTCCTACACTTGTACACAAAACTGCAGTGGTAAGAGAGGGATTTACTTCGTGTAAGTGGCACAGAAACATAATATAAGTCCAAAATATTTAATGTTCAACATTATCACACAAATTGGAACCTTTTTCTAATTTTGTGATATATATATATATGTAGTGGTGATTTGACTTGAATATTGACCTAATGTATATTTTTACACATCAAACCAGTAAAGAAAGTAGTAAAGTCGGACTGGGCCGACTATATGATACCCTTCACCACTTTGGGTATATTCTACACATGTATCCGAAAAGACGTCGCCTTTTTAAAGGAATTTTGACCTGAAATTGAACGAACTTAAATATGTGATGTTCATGTCGTTCTGGAACCTATGCAAAATTTCATTTCATTTGGGCATGTTTAGAATCGTTTGCGCACAGTGGGACAGATTTGTGTAAATCGATTTAAAGCAAACTTGACACACGCTATTCGATATGCTGCACTGTTTAAAATTTAATCTCAATCAGACACCTATTGATTATTTTGTGTACAATTAACATAGATAAGTCGAAATTATATATGGAAGCTACGATATATCTATATCTGAACCGATTTGAAGTAAACTTGCCAGAGATTAATTTATATTAGTCTTGATTTAGATTAGGCGAGTTTACTTGCGGCAAGTCTTTGTTTGTAGGAGAGAGGGGCAAGGGGAATAGAAATGGAAAAAAATTGCTCGTACCGACAATTTTCTGGCAATTCGTTTTGTGTATTTCGTATTTTTTGACATTTTATATTTATATAAATGTGAAAAAACTATTTGAAACAAATAAACAATTTTTTTTTTTTTGAAACCGAATTTCCTTGTATAGACGCATGAAGCAAGTTCAAAAGAGAACGATAAGAATTGCCGCAAGTAAACTCGCCTAATCTAAATCAGACATAACAATCTAGAACATTTTCACAAAATGTAAAAAAAATTAATTTTGAAATCGACTTGCCTTGTATAGACGAATGAAGCAAGTTCAAAAGAGAACGATAACATTGCCGCAAGTAAACTCGCCTAATATAAATCACGACTTAATTTCAGTAATTTCAGTGTGTCAATCGGCCTAGCTGTGGATCTTTAGTGCACAATTTACTTAAAATCGGAGGAAAATATGTATAGGACGTGTACACATCATTCTAGACTTAAGTAAATACGATATGCCAAAATTCGTGCAAATCGAATGATTTTCAGAGACTTTGGTGCACCATTTTCCTAAAATCGGGCGAAACTATATATGGGAGCTATTTGTAAATCTAAACCGATTTTCACGAAACTTAGCACACATCATTCTAGACCTAGTTCAATAGGCTATACAAAATTTCGTGCAAATCAAATGATTTTCAGAAACATTGGTACACCATTTACCTAAAATCGGGCGAAACTATAGGAGCTATATCAAAATCTTAACAGATTTTCACGAAACTTAGCACACGTCTTTCTAGACTTAATTCAATACGCTATGCCAAAATTCGTGCAAATCAAATGATTTTCAGGGACTTTGGTGCACCATTTACTTAAAATCGGGCGAAACTATATATGGGAGTTATATCTAAATCTAAACCGATTTTGACGAAAATTAGCACACATCATTCTAGACCTAGTTCAGTTGGCTATACCAAATTTCGTTCAAATCGAAATTTGGTATAGCCTACCATAAATCGGACGAAAATATATATGGGAGATATATCTAAATCTGAACCGATTTTTCCCAATTTCAATAGGCTTCGTCCTTGTGCCAAACAAATGAACTGTGCCAAATATCATCCAATTCGGATCATAAATGCGACCCGTACTTTGTTTACAATTTAACATGGACAAACAGACGGACGGGCATGCATAAATCGACTCAGAAAGTGATTATTTTTGTCATACGCTACCAAAAGAATTTTGGAAAGGTTACTAGACTCAGAAATTAGAAATACCACTGACCATAGTAAACTTAGTCCCAGCATGCTTATATCAAAGGCAGATCAGTGATACAGGCCTGCATGAGATGGTTGGGTGCATCGAGAAGAATATGGAGTCCTCTGGCTACACTTTGGCCGCAATGTGAAGCTAGAAGCCATCCATTCTGCTCTCGTAAGCACAGGTATCCACTCACTCCTTACGGAATGGATTGATAGAATGCTGGAAAGCAGAATTATCAACTCATCCTTAGGAGAGAGTTCCATGAGGAAATCTGTCAACAGAGGCACACCACAGGGAGGAGTACTATCCCCTCTTTTGTGGCTTCTGGTGATAAATGAGATACTTATGAAATTCAATCATCTCAGGATAAAGGGGGTAAGTTTCTAACGACAATTGCAGACATCCTGGAGGGTGCCCTTTCAACCCTGTCTAATTGGGCTTGCACCAAAGATCTTGGTGTAAACGCCACTAAAACAGAACTGATGCTCTTCACTAGGAAACGCAAGATTCCTAGTTTCAGCAAAATATCTTGGCACCATCCTTGACCGCAAACTAATGTGCAATAGGAATGTTGAGGAACGCTCTAAGAAGGGATTGCTAGCACTCTACTCATGTAAGAATTCCATAGGTAAGAGCTTGGTTGTCTTGTTTTGTGGCAGGGGGTTAACAAAAAGATGCTCTGACAAAATTTAATTTAGTACAGCGATTGGCTTCAATCCTGATCACCGGAGCATTAAGAAGTACATCACAGGCAGCCTTGAACGCAATGACCAGGGAACCCATTTCCAATACCAGTTGTTGTGTTGATATAAAAACCATCTGAGTCAATTTTTGGCCGCCTATGTGAAATGGTTTGCCAGTTAATAAGTTTATACCCTATTTTTGGGTAAATACTCAAAATAGGGGTACCTTTGTATGGGGGCTACCAGTAAACGTGGACCTACATACATAAATTTTTGCATGAACATTTGGTACGCAAAGAGAACATTCTGTGCCAGTTGTTGTGTTGATATAAAAACCATCTGAGCCAAATGTTGGCCGCCTATGTGAAGTGGTTTGCCAGTTAATAAGTTTATACCCTATTTTTGGGTAAATACTCAAAATAGAGGTACCTTTGTATGGGGGCTACCAGTAAACGTGGACCTACATACATACATTTTTGCATGAACATTTGGTACGCAAAGAGAACATTCTGTGCCAAATTACAGCCTTTAATCGGGAGATACGGTTATATGGGGCTATATCAAAACTTGGACCCAGGGACCCCATTTTGCATTTCAATATTTGCTTTGACATTAAAAACATGTAAACAAAATTTTACGCCCTTAAAGTATCGTAAAACTACCCATTCTAAAACGATTTGATAACAAAAACCCGGAAATATAGTGTAAGATGTTGTATTACCGATCCAATATAGTAAATACCCAAATAAATACCCACAAATGGGTATTTACCCAATTTACCGGGTATTTACCCACTGCCCATATCTATCAATTACAGGTTGGGACAGCGATTTTAACACGGAACGCATGCTCGAGGCCTTCGGCCAGCAGAACACGACACTGTATGTAACAGCGAGGAGAAAACACCCAGCAACAAATATGAGGGAGCTGAGGGGAAGTTCACGGACTACCAAGAAGACCGGTTACTGGAGGACAAATGATAGAAGTCATCCAGATTAATCTCCATCGGCAATGCAAATATGGGTTCTCGGCCGAGAACCTGTATAATATGCCACTAAAATGTATTCTTTCTCTTTTCCCCGGAGTTGTAAACATCGGACGCCACTGTACTGAAGCAGGGCAGTGGTAACATTTACCTGGCATCAGTATATCCAACGGCGGAGCTGCA